ACAATGTCAATGCATTTCCCTTGATAGATAAAGGGAAGACCTTCTTCTTGACTTCATCCTCGAGCAAACCTGCAAGCTTAAATAATCCACAAACTTCATCCACATAGATTAGATGCATATCACGATGTAATGTTCCATCTCCTGCATAAGGATTAGCTAGCAGTTTCTCTAACATCCCCGAAGGAATTTCATAATAAATATTTTCAGTAGGTTGAGGAGCAACTTATTGCTCTACTGGTCAGGGTGAAGATACCCCGAACAAGCCCCTCGATGGATTATGTTCCATAGCAACAAGTGACAGTAAATTTCAACACACTATATAAATTTTCCCTTACCAAAGGCGCTTCACTCCCCGGAAACGGCGTCAGAAAAGAGTCTTGATGACCTACAGGTATAAGGGATCTATAGTAGTCCTTTCGATAAGTAAGAGTGTCGAACCCAACGAGGAGCAGAAGAAAATGACAAGCGGTTTTCATTAAGGTATTCTCTGCAAGCACTGGAATTATCGGTAACAGATAGTTCTGTGATAAGATAATTCGTAACGGGTAACAAGTAACAAGTGTAACTAAGGTGCGGCAAGGTGGCCCAATCCTTTTTGTAGCAAAGGACAATCCTGGACGAACTCTTATATAAAGCAAAGCGCTCCCGAGGACACATGGGAATTATTGTCAAGTTAGTTTTCATCATGCTCATATGATTTGCGTTCGTTACTTTGATAATTTGATATGTGGGTGGACCAGTGCTTGGGTGTTGTCCTTATTTGGACAAGCCTCCCACTTATAATTAACCACTCTCGCAAGCATCCACAACTACGAAAGAAGAATTAAGATAAATCTAACCATAGCATGAAACATGTGGATCCAAATCGGCCCCTTACAAAGCAATGCAAATACTAGGGTTTAAGCTTCTGTCACTCTAGCAACCCAACATCTACTTATTACTTCCCAATGCCTTCCCCTAGGCTCAAACAATGGTGAAGTGTCATGTAGTCAATGTTCACATAACATCACTAGAGGAAAGACAACATACATCTCATCAAAATATTGAACGAATACCAAATTCACATGATTACTTAACAAGACTTCTCCCACGTCCTCAGGAACAAACGTAACTACTCACAAAGCATATTCATGTTCATAATCAGAGGGGTATTAATTATCATTAAGGATCTGAATATATGATCTTCCACTAATGAACCAACTAGCATCAACTACAAGGAGTAATCAACACTACTAGCAACCTACAGATACTAATCTGAGGTTTTGAGACAAAGATCGGATACAAGAGATGAACTAGGATTTGAGAAGAGATGGTGCTGGTGAGGATGTTGATGGAGATTGACCCCCCTCTCGATGAGAGGATCGTTGGTGATGATGATGGCTTCGATTTCCCCTTCTGGGAGGGAAGTTTCCCCGGCACAACAGCTCCGCCGAAGCCCTAGATTGGTTCTGCCCAAGTTTCGCCTGGAGACGGCGGCGCTTTGTCCCGAAAGCTCTCTCCTGATTTTTTCCAGGTCAAAACCCTCCATATAGCAGAAGATGGGCACCGGAGGCCTGACAGGGGCCCACAAGCCATAGGCGCGCACCCAGGGTGGTAGGGCGCGCCCCCCAGGCTTGTGGCCTCCTGGTGGTCCCCTCTGGTATTTTCTTTGCCCAATATTTTTTATATATTCCAAAATAATTCTCCGTAAATTTTTAGGACTTTTGGAGTTGTGCAGAATAGGTCTCTCAGAATTGCTCTTTTTCAGTCTAGAATTCCATCTACCGGCATTCTCCCTCTGTGTGTAAACCTTGTAAAATAAGAGAGAAAAGGCATATTGTACCATAATGTGTAATAACAACCCATGATGCAATAAATATCAATATAAAAACATGATGCAAAATGGACGTATCGGGGGCAACCGGGCGCGGCGGCGGGGAACGGTGGTTGTGAGGGTTCGAGGGGAGAAGACGAGGGTGAGGGGAGATGTGAGCGAGTGGTTCTATTGCGGGTTCGATCAAGGGACGGGGTGACAAATCGTTTTCTCTGGCGGTGGCATATGGCCGTAAATAACTCCTACTTCAGATTCATAAAAACATGGAGCTGGGAATCGGTAGCTTCAGAAAAATGCACTACAACCCATCGTGGCTTCCTGGATTTCAGCTTCGTGAAGCTATTGCGTTCGGGCTAGCTTTGGATCGAGATTTTCAGAAGTTTGGAGTGGGAGGAGATCGGACAGGCCCTTCAAAAAAGAACCTTCATAAGATTAATATAATTCAATGAACAATCTGGTCATAAAGTGATAATTCATCATATCCCAACAAACACAACCACCGATTACATCATATTGAACCCGATCATGTAAGGCAGCTCATGTGAACTTTGTATTGAATAATAAGGGGGAGATGATTCCATCTAGCTACTGCTATGGACCCTGGGGTTCTAAGGAAGCTACTCACACATGTTCATGATGGCAGCAAGGTCGATGAAGATGGTGTCGGTGTCAAAACCGGCGGATCTCGGGTAGGGGGTCCCGAACTGTGCGTCTAGGCCGGATGGTAACAGGAGGCAAGGAACACGAAGTTTTACCCAGGTTCGGGCCCTCTTGATGGAGGTAAAACCCTACGTCCTGCTTGATTAATATTGATGATATGGGTAGTACAAGAGTAGATCTACCACGAGATCAGAGAGGCTAAACCCTAGAAGCTAGCCTATGGTATGATTGTTGATGTGTATGTTGTCCTATGGACTAAAACCCTCCGGTTTATATAGACACCGGAGAGGGTTAGGGTTACACAAAGTCGGTTACAATGGTAGGAGATCTTGAATATCCGCATCGCCAAGCTTGCCTTCCACGCCAAGGAAAGTCCCATCCAGACACGGGACGAAGTCTTCAATCTTGTATCTTCATAGTCCTGGAGTCCGGCTGAAGGTATAGTCCGGCTACCCGAACACCCCCTAATCCAGGACTCCCTTAGTAGCCCCTGAACCAGGCTTCATTGACGACGAGTCCGGCGCGTAGATTGTCTTCGGCATTGCAAGGCGGGTTCCTCCTCCAAATTCTTCATAAAAGTTTGTAAACACCAAGAGTAGTGTCCGGCTCTGCAAAATAAGTTTCCACGTATTGCCACAGAGAGAATAATATTAACACAAATTGAATCCGCTAACGTATTCCACAGCGTGACATCACACTACGGCCAAGCCTTTGTTCGAATCGTTTTCACTTTTCCACCTCAGCGTGTTTTGCGAGGCGGTTTCCTTGGCACGTCTTGTCAAAGCAGAGATCGTGTCCCCTTTATTTACGGGATTCTCATCAATACCGACGTGGGTAACCCAACCGCGCCATTTATCACGGCGCTTGGGAGGCAAGCGAGTTTTACTAGGCTGGTGGGGACGCATAGTCGCATCGCTCATATAAGGGGATAAGGATCCACCTTTTTACCTACGCCTTCTTCCTCCTTTGCCTATCCATCTTCTGCACACCCGAGCTCCAGCGCTCAAGCCCGCACTTCCTACCTCAACCTTCTCCAACAATGTCTGGAGCAGGAGGCAAGTGGATGGTCTCCTCCGTCACGGAGGGCCATGTCAAAAGGCTAAGGAAGGCCGGATACCTGTCCAAAGACATCGCGCACCGGCTTCCTGAGGAGGGGCAGCTTCTCCCCACCCCAAGGCCCCATGAGAGGGTAGTATTTCTTCCCCACTTCCTCCGCGGACTGGGTTTTCCTCTCCACCCATTTGTCCGCGGGCTCATGTTCTACTATGGTCTAGATTTCCACGATCTGGCCCCGAACTTCATCCTCAATATCTCAGCGTTTATCGTCGTGTGCGAGGCTTTCCTCTGCATCCGCCCCCATTTCGGCCTCTGGCTCAAGACCTTCAACGTCAAGCCAAAGGTGGTGCGTGGCAACCAGGCGGAGTGTGGAGGTGCCATGGCGGGCAAAATAGCCAACGTCCTATGGCTCGAGGGCTCCTTTGTGGAGACCTTGAAGGGGTGCCAGTCAGGATGGTTTTACATCACCGAGCCACGCGATCCGAAGTGGATCGCAACCCCTGAATTTCGATCCGGACCCCCTACACGGCTCATGTCCTGGAAGGAGGCGGGCTTGTCGTGGGGCGACGAAGAAGAGGTGACCGGACTGCAAAAATGCATCCAGTCCCTGATGAACAAGCAGCTCAAGCTTGTCAACATAGTCCAGGTCATGCTTGTCCGCCGGATCCTTCCGTGTCAAGAACGGGACTTCAATTTGTGGGAGTTCAACCCGGCGCAGCACCGAACTCTGAGCAGGCTCTTCGACACGACGTACGAAGATGTCTGGAGGGGGCTAACCAAAGGCGCCGAGGCTCCCACATCCGCCTCCGAAGACCGCGGATTCAGCTCGCAGCGTCCTGCTGGCGAGGTAAAATATTTTCACCTTTTACAGGATGTTAAGTTTTCTTCATAGTTTGACTCTATGCGGGATCTAAACTCCCTCACCTTTGACAGGATTGGCAGGCGAAGTCCGAACTGATTAACTGTCCGGCTCCCTTGCCCGAAGACCCAGCCCCTGCTCCCCTAGTGAAGCTGCTAGTTCTGGCACCTTATGTGGTGCTGGAGAAGAAGGCCAAGAAGAAGAAGGCCACGGGGACTCAAAAGAGTTCCCGACATATGGTGGTGTCGGACTCGTCGTCCGATGAGTCCGAGACGCACTCCTACCGTGAAGACGAGGAGGAGGAAGAAGAAACCTCTCCCCCTCCAGCGGGAGGAGGAAGAAGAGGAAGGCCACCCCAGCAGGGGAGGCCGACGGGTCCAAAAAGAGGAAAACCCCTCCGCCGGACTACGCCCCCGACGCCGACGAGGACGAAGAGGACTGGCCGGATAGGGCCAAGCGTCCGACGAAATCGTAAGTGTTCGGATACCAGAGTAACTCATGATATTCCTTTTGTTGCACAGCTTTCCTTAATGTCGAATGTAATCATGCAGCCCGCCCAAGGACGGGCTCGACGAGTCGTCGAGCGGCTCCCTAGATTCATCGGACGTGAATTCAGTTCCGCCCGCTGCCTCCCCCTGTGCTGCGGATGACGCCGAAGTGGCGTCGCGACAAGCTCCGGGGCAAGAGGAGGTGGTCCAGGAGGAGCCGCAAGGCGGTCCAGGAGGAGCCGCGAGGCGACCTCCCGGACTCCATGAGTAAAGGGGACAAGACCCCCCAGGGCTCCAAGTCCGGCTTTAGGTCGGACACCGCGCCGGAATCATCGACGGTTCCGGACCGCGGCAGGTGAACTCCTGCCAAGAGGAGCAAGCCTATTGAGCCGGCGTCCTCCGTCCAACTGGAGGCGCCGGACAATCTGCTAGAGGTACTTAAGGGCGCCTCCATCGACGAGGAGCACCATACCATCATGAGTACGGTGGTCCAGAAGGTTCGGTCCACCAAAAGCGGACTGACTGAAGCTTGTGCTAGCCTTCTAACAGGCTTCGAGGTAAGTAAAAATATGTAAAAATATTACCGCATAGACAGTAGCCCCTGATGCTCTGTTTGGCGTACGGAAAGAAAAGCCGAATATAGGATCTATTAAATATCGCAGGAGTCTAACTAAAAAGGAGTCAATATACGTATGCAGGCTTCGCTGCTGGCCACCACCGCACTGACTACGGAGGTGGATGCCCTGAAGCAGGGCCTCGAGCGGACCGAGCAAGAGCTCGGCCTTGCCAAACGGCAGCTCGAGGAGAAAGAAGGTAAGAGATACCTGATAGAAAAAATGCCTATAAGAAGACGCAATTGCAAAAAATGACAGGAGTATACTGCTTATTGTAGGGGCCACAGCTGAGGTGGCGACCCTCAAGCAGGCGCTATCCGAGGCCAAGAAGAGAGCGGCCACGGAGCGCACCGAGCGGGAGAAATTTGAGGCGCAGGTCGGCGAGGTGCAGCAAGAGCTTCAGGCTCTCATGAAAAAGCATGAGAGTTTGGAGCTCGACTCGAATACGCGAGCGTCCGAGCTTGCTGCGGCCCTTAAAACTGCCAAATCTGCCAAGGCCGAAACCTAGAAGGCCCTCCAGGAATTGGATGTGGTGAAGAAGATAGCGGCGGGTAAGGCATTTTCTATGCAAAGCAGACATATAAAAGTAAACTACTTGTTACTTACCCGAATCCGGAGCTCTCCAGGGGCATTCGTAGATCTTCCCCGCAGCGTATCCGATGCCGCCGCATTCTACCGAGCCGAGGAAGGCAGCTCGACGGAGAAGGTGTTCTGGTCTCAGTACGCTGAGGCCGGACACCCTGTGCCCTTGAGCGACCAGCTAAAGCAGCTGGTCGAGCTCCACAAGGCGGCCGAACAGGCCCTGAAAGGCTTCATAGTTCGGCTGTGGCCTGGAGAGGCCCTGCCTGGGAGCTACTTCGGACTGGTGCGGCGGTTGGTGGAGGCTTTTCCAAGGCTCGAGGTCATCAAGCGCTCCGTCTGCATCGAAGGTGCCCGTAGGGCCCTTGCCCGTACAAAGGTACACTGGGGTAAGCTGGACAGTGAGAAGCTTGTGAGGGACGGGCCGCCGCCGGGGAAGGAGCATCGCAAGCCCGAGAACTATTACAAGGATGTTCTGGCTGGTGCCGGCATTATGGCGGATGAATGTACCATGGATGTAATTTTTGAATGAACTCGCTCGTGTTATCCTATGCGCTGAAAACTTGTTCAAATGCGCTAAGCAATGCTTGAATTTAAAATATTACTTTCTGTGCAGCCGTTTATCAAAAAATTGAGAGATGGCCAGTCGTCGGCTTCTGCCCCCATGCCACTAGTGCTGGGGTGTTGGGGATAAACCTGAGCGCTCTTTTTCCCATGAATGGGTCCGTCGAGGGAGGCGCTCAGCACAACGAACAAGGCAATCGGACTATAATGCTTGAACACTCCCACTTAGCCATAGAACTCTATAATTTTAAATTTCGGCGAAGCCCCTAGTATTCGTAAGACCGAGTTCGGGGCGCTATCCACGCCTTGACCGGACAAAGCCGGTTCCTCGCTCGAAGCGGCATAAGTCTTTAAGGACTCGAAAAACCTCTCGAACAACGACCGGTCTCTCGCCTCATCATGACAGTCAGTTTTAGCTTTCTCTACTGAGGTGCTCAGCCCAGCTCAACTGGGGCACAATCGCAGTAGTTCTCCTAGTGCTACCTTAGCCGATATAGCGGAACGTAAGGCACCAAAACATAGGAGCCGGGCAAACCCAACTATTGACCCAAATCATGATTCGGAGCCGATGCATATAGTGCTATAAGTTCGGGGTGCTGCACTTGTGAAAGTGTACGGACTTCTCACGCCATATTGATGGGTACTGAAGCCCCTGGCGTATTTTTGCCGTACCACAGTGTACGGATGCAACATGTTATTGATAAACATATATATATATAAAGAGAATAATGCAAAAAATAGACAAAAAGCTATGCATTGTTTATAGAAAGGCTGCTATGAAAGCGGAACGATACAAATAGTGCGATAAGCAAAAGAAACTGGACTATTTAACATGTCCTGCCCAGGGGCAGGCCGCGGAATTGTATTAAAAAACAGATGTACTGCTCGCAATAGAGACCACCTGGGAGTTCCATAATGCGGCGTGGCTTGTCTGCTTTCCTGGATCTTGCATCGTTTGTGCGGCAGTTGAATTGCCGAACGGGTCATCCGAAGTATGGAGTCCTGAGAGTAAGAGAAAAAAAAAGGAATCCGGCAGCCCCTGGTGCGGTTTAAGCCGTATTTCGGGCGTGCCGTGATAGTGCCCCTTCCCCTGTGCCCATGGTATTTCAAGAGCGTAGTTATGTACGCGAAGCACTGGTTTTGCTATATCGCAAGGGCTAGGGTTGGGGACGCATTGCTACGCTAGCTCAGAACGTGCCAGGCGGTCTTGTTGTAGGGTACTCCGGGCGCTTGACAGTGTCCAGCTTTTTGAAGGCCGAACTGGAGAACTGCCCAGAGAGGCTGCTTTGTACTTCTGCTGCGAGCGCTGCCGTGTGCTCCTCCGTTTGGAGGGAGCGTTCAGTGTTCCCATTGACCGTGATTACTCCTCTAGGTCCTGACATCTTGAGCTTGAGGTATGCATAGTGTGGTACCGCATTGAATTTTGCGAATGCCGTTCGCCCGAGCAGTGCGTGATAGCCACTACGGAACGGGACTATGTCGAAGATTAACTCCTCGCTTTGGAAGTTATCCGGAGATCCGAAGACCACTTTCAGTGTGACTAAGCCTGTACAGTTGGCTTCTACACCTGGTATGACGCCTTTGAAGGCCGTTTTGGTGGGCTTGATCCTCGAGGGATCTATGCCCATTTTTCGCACTATATCCTGGTAAAGCAGGTTCAGGCTGCTGCCGCCGTCCATGAGGACTCTTGTGAGATGAAATCCGTCAATGATTGGGTCTAGAACCAATGCGGCAAAGCCGCCGTGACGGATGCTAGTGGGGTGGTCCCTTTGATTAAAGGTGATCGGGCAGGAGGGCCATGGGTTGAACTTTGGGGCGACTGGCTCCATCGCATATACGTCCCATAACGCACGCTTCCGCTCCCTCTTGGGATGTGGGTTGCGTATATCATGTTCACCGTCCGCACTTGCGGGGGAAATCCCTTCTGTCCACTGTTGTTCGGCGGCCTGGGCTCCTCCTCGTCGTTGCTATGCAGCCCCTTGTATTTGTTTTCCGCTCTTAACTTGCCTGCCTGCTTGAACACCCAACAATCCCTGTTGGTGTGATTGGCTGGCTTTTCGGGGGTGCCATGTATCTGGCACAAGCGGTCGAGTATCCGGTCCAAACTGGACGGGCCCTGAGTATTTCTTTTGAATGACTTTTTCCGTTGACCAGATTTGTAGCCTCGGAATCCGGCATTAACTGCCGTATCCTCGTTGCTGTCGTTGTTAACGCGGCGCTTTTGTTTGTTCCGACGCGACCTGTCGCTTTTGTCCTTGGTATTCGAATTACCAGGGTTCTTGGTTAAATTATTGTTGTGAGCTAGCCAGCTGTCTTCTCGCGCACAAAAGCGGGTCATGAGTGTCATGAGGGCTGCCATAGGTTTCGGCTCATCCTGTCCCAGGTGCCGGGCAAGCCACTCGTCATGGATATTATGCTTGAAGGCCGCTAAGGCCTCTGCGTCCGGACAGTCGACTATCTGGTTTTTCTTTGTTAGGAACCGTGTCCAGAATTGCCTGGCCCATTCCTTTGGCTACTGAATTATGTGGCTTAGGTCATCGGCGTCTGGTGGTCGCACATAAGTGCCCCAAAAGTTGTCGAGGAATGTGGCTTCCAGGTCCTCCCAAGAACCGATTGAGTCTGCTAGCAAGCTGTTAAGCCAATGCCGGGCCGGTCCCTTAAGTTTGAGTGGGAGGTATTTGATGGCGTGTAGATCATCACCGCGGGCCATGTGGATATGAAGGAGATAATCCTCAATCCATACCGCAGGATCTGTTGTGTCATCGTACGATTCAATGTTTACGGGTTTGAAGCCCTCAGGGATTTTATGATCCATTACTTCATCTGTGAAGCATAGTGGGTGTGCGGCGCCTCTGTATTGGGCTATATCACGACGCAGCTCGAAGGAGCTTTGTCTGTTGAGTTCGGCCCAGCCGGATTCATTGCATCTGGAGTGACGATCACCGTCAAGTGTCGTGGGGCGCCTGCACGATCCGTAGATCGATCTTGTTTGCCTTGCCTTGTCCTCCAGTATGTCGCGCAGGTCGGGCGCATTTTCCCGTGCCTTAGTATGCTTGACGCGGCGCCGGGGCATGGCTTGAGTGGAGGGCCGAGAAGCCTCTCTGTCACGGCCACGAGGTGGCCGGTCGGCCATGTCATGCGCTGGTGATGTAGGTGCTTCCTCCTTTAGTCGGGTTAGCAGCCTGCGCTTTGGGTAACTCTTGGAGGGGCGTTCGAGTTCATACTCTTCGGCCGCAAGGACTTCAGTCCATCTGACAGCTAGCAAATCCTGATCAGCTCTAAGCTGTTGCTGCTTTTTCTTGAGGCTGCTTGCCGTGGCCATAAGCCTGCGTTTAAAACGCTCTTGTTCGGCGGGATCCTCTGGCACGACGAACTCGTCGTCGTCGAGGCTTGCCTCGTCTTCAGAGGGAGGCGTATAATTATTGTCCTCAACCTCTTGGTCCGCCGCCCTCTCGTGAGGGCTGGCTTCTCTGTCCTCCTGTGCTGAGTCTTGCTGGAGAGGGTGTTCTTCGGCGCTATCCAGAGTAGTATTATCTCCTGTGCCGAAATCACCGTTTTTGCTTTGGCGGGATTTAGAGCGGCGCCGCTGACGCCGGCGCTTGGGCTATTTCTTAGAGGTATCGTCCCCCGCTGTTCCATCGCCATCTCCATCCTTTGGAGTGTCCACCATATATATGTCATATGACGAGGTGGCCTTCCAGCGCACTACAGGTGCTGGTTCTTGTTCGTCTCCTGCATCGTCGTCCATGCCGTCGATGTCTTCGGAGTCGAAGTCGAGCATGTCGGTTAAGTCGTCGACAGTGGCTACAAAGTGGGTGGTGGGTGGGTTTTGAATTTCTTCATCGTCCGTATCCCAACCTTGCTGACCGTAGTCCGGCCAGGGCTCTCCTGATAAAGAGAGAGACTTTAGAGAATTCAAGATGTCGCCGAAGGACGAGTGCTGAAAGATGTCCGCGACGGTGAACTCCATTATCGGCGCCCAATCGGATTTGATCAGCAAGGGCGCGGGGGGCTCGGAGTTCGGAGAGGAATTCGGCTCCTCGGAGTCACGGGCCATGCGGAGTGCGGGGCTGGAGTTCGGCTCGATCGCCTCTGAGATCGCAGCCCCTGAGGCAGCGTCCAACCGCTGATCCTCGATCGGCGCAGTAGGCTCCGAATCAATGGTCGGAACCGATGCGTGTGCGGCCTCCAAGACGCTGTTCGGTGGCAGAGCTATATCATGCCCATCGAGATAGTGCGGCGCGCTTGACTGTGGCTCGAATCCGTCGAAGATCAAGTCCCCGCGGATGTCAGCTGTGTAGTTTAGGCTTCCAAACCTGACCTGATGGCCAGGGGCGTAGCTTTCGATCTGCTCAAGGTGGCCAAGCAAATTGGCCCGCAGTGCGAAGCCACCGAAGACGAAGATCTGTCCGGGGAGAAAAGTCTCACCCTGGACTGCATCGTTGTTGATGATCGAAGGAGCCATCGGGCCTAAAAGCGACGACACAGAGGAACTCTCAATGAAAGCACCAATGTCGGTGTCAAAACCGGCGGATCTCGGGTAGGGGGTCCCGAACTGTGCGTCTAGGCCGGATGGTAACAGGAGGCAAGGAACACGAAGTTTTACCCAGGTTCGGGCTCTCTTGATGGAGGTAAAACCCTACGTCCTGCTTGATTAATATTGATGATATGGGTAGTACAAGAGTAGATCTACCACGAGATCAGAGAGGCTAAACCCTAGAAGCTAGCCTATGGTATGATTGTTGATGTGTATGTTGTCCTACGGACTAAAACCCTCCGGTTTATATAGACACCGGAGAGGGTTAGGGTTACACAAAGTCGGTTACAATGGTAGGAGATCTTGAATATCCGCATCGCCAAGCTTGCCTTCCACGCCAAGGAAAGTCCCATCCGGACACGGGACGAAGTCTTCAATCTTGTATCTTCATAGTCCTGGAGTCCGGCTGAAGGTATAGTCCGGCTACCCGAACACCCCCTAATCCAGGACTCCCTCAGATGGCTCGAGTTGTTACACAAGGAAAGGAAACATTTTGTTGAGAACTGTCGATGAGTTCATTGACCCCTGTATGGGGACATGGGACGAGGAACTAATCCGCAGTATCTTCCTTCTGGTAGACACAAAGAGAATTTTGAGAATTTCGTTGTCGGAATACCTACTGGAGAATTTCTTGGCTTGGCATAGGACTAGTTCCTTTGTACTTTCGGTACGGTCAGCTTATTACAAAGAGTGGGAGCATCAATATGCATCATAAGTGACTTGTACAAAAGGAACTTCAGAGACAAATTCGTTTTGGCCTGCTCTTTGGAATTTGCAAGTACCTAGCAAGGTCAAGATGTGGGTTATACCAGGTGTGATGTGTTCTTTGGAGGGGGGAGGGGGTTATACGAGGAATGTGAGTCCTTGCACACCGACATATTAATGTCGCCCCAATGCCCGATTTGCCAACAAGGAGCTGAGACATTCGATATCTGCTTTTCAATTGTACTCGAGCGCAGGGAGTTTAGGAAGCTCTTGGAATGAGCACTAGTTGTTGACCGTTCGGGGTGGTGCTATAGGAGATCCTAAGATGGCTGAAACAAAAATTATGTGTACTTGTTCACCCTGGTTTACAAGAGACGGTGGCCGTAGGAGCATGGTATATATAGTGGGAGCGTAGAAAAGCAAAGAAGGGAGTGAGTGTCAAACCACAAACAAGCTCAGTTTTTTCGATACATGAGGTCATCCCTGATTCTCATGAGCAAGTTGTGGTGGGTACAGCAAAGACTTCTGTGCACGCTCATGACACAGCTTCAGCGGAGGCGCTAGCCTTACGGTGTGGTCTTGGTCTGGTTCATCGCATGGGATGCTCCAAGGTTGTCATGGAGTCCGACTGTTTAGAAATTGTTGAAGCTTGGAAGGGAGAAGTTGATATTAGAGCACCATACTTAGCTACTATGCGGCACTGTTTCTAGTTAGCACATGAAATACCACATGTTTGATTTCACTATTTTCGCCGGTTATCTAACGATTTGGCATATATTTTAGCGAGCCATGCTTATGATTTAAACTTAATTTTTGTCTTGAGAGGATGAGCCTCTCGATTTTCTGCTTCAACATCTACTCAAAGATATAACACTTAGAATCCTAAAAAAAGTGCAAATAGGCTTTTCTTTCAAAAGAAAAACCACTAGTACATACTCCTTTCGTTCCTAAATATAAGTTTTTTAGACATTTCAATACGAACTACATATGGAGCAAAATGGATAAATCTATACTCTAAAATATATCTACATACATCCGTATGTAGTCCTTATTGAAATCTCTAAAAAGACTTACATTTAAGAACGGAGGAAGTAGTTTCATATTAATTGTCACTGATTTACTGATTTAGTACGTGAATGAATGAAGTACAAGACAACCCCGACGCCGATTGCCATCCCGATATTTTGTCCGAGGTCCTCAACATCCACACACGAGATGCATTTCTAGAAGGCAGGCAATAGACACACAGACTTGCTAGAGCAGACAGTAACAACAAAACTAACGGGCCCATGCCGCAAGATTGCCAAGAGACATTTTTCTCGCTTTGCCGCCCATCTTTAATTTCCCACTCTATTATTGTTAAGCGGCAGATGTCACGGGGACGCTCTAGCTTTCATCTCAACCTTTATCAAAGCGAGTGACAGGTCTAAATAATCCGGTCCTTTCGGCTTTGCCCCCTTTCTCAACACCAGAACCAGCGGCCCAGCCGTGCTCCGCTCCTGCCTCTCTTTACCTTACACATCTTGTTTCGTGGTATAAAGCACAGTGATTAGGGTTAGATGTCGGTCATGTAGGATCCATGCATAATGCCGTCTAATATAGAAATGAAAAGGTTAATGCCACAAGTTCCAAGTGTATGGAGCTCAAACTATGCTTTCCCGCAGCACCAACCACATTTATCTTAAAAATGATAATCCATTCATTGATAATGGAGGAAAGAATAATTTAGACGGTACATTTTACAGGGAAGATTGCTGACTAATGATACATCCCCTACAAGTTGCATCAGTCCACAGTGGAACTGTCCTTGCAAAGTTGCAATCTGATCCAACTCAGGACCCAATCCAACTACCCAAAGCTAGCCAAGACTGCTAATTTGATTCCAAGAAAGCAATGCCCATCACCCAATCCCTTTCCATCATCACCATTTCTCCCCCAAATCACAATCTAAAAGTTATGATTGGGCCTTATTGACACATTGAGATATTTGAGAGATACCACCAAATGTCCAAATTTTCACCCTTCCCTCCCTCGAATCCCCCAAATTTTACACACTGAACCCTTTGGCCGCACCGGCAGCGGTGCCGGCGCTTGGCGCCCGGCTTGCGCCGTTCTGGGCGCCTGTCGTGTCATGTCCACGTTATCGCTATCGGGCTCGCCACGGTGTGCTTACCGTCCGACCACACGAGCCGGCCGAAGCCGGCGGTGCCCGACGGCTGCGACTTGGCCGCCGTGAAGCTCACCGTGTAGCTCTTCTTCTCGCCGGCCGCCGTGAACTCCAGCTCGGCCGGCTTCACGTCGACGGTCACGCCGGACATGGACACCGAGGCGTCCACCTTGTACGTGCCCGCCGCGCCCACGTTGGTGAGCGTGCGCGTGTGCGTCACCGTGGTGGCGCCGGAGTCCCCGGCCTCGCCGTTCGCCGTGGAGTAGGCCACGGAGAAGGACGGGTAGTTGAGGTTGGCGACGGCGTAGGTCTTGTTCGCGGCGCACCCGTAGGTCTTGTTCCGCGCCAGCGCGGCGATCATGTTGGGCGTGTACTTGAGCGCGCACAGGAAGTCCACATAGTCGCTGGTGCCGAGGTCGTACACCAGCCCCGGCTCCACCGCGCGGGTCGGGTCCACGTGCCCGGCGCCGTAGTCGAACGGCGTGGCGGCCGCGCCGGTCGCCGCGTCGAGGATGGGCGCCCCGGCCCCGCCGGTGTACGTGGAGTAGGCCGTCGTCATGAGCGCCGAGCGCACGGCGGCGGGGCTCCACTCCGGGTGCGCGCTCCGGAGCAGCGCGGCGAGGCCGCTCACGTGCGGACACGACATGGACGTGCCGGAGATGATGTTGAAGTTGACGCGCCGCGTGTCCGCGGCGAGACCAGTTGGCCCTGCCTTGCCGGTCCACGCCGCCAGGATGTTCACCCCCGGCCCGATGATGTCCGGCTTCAGGATCTCCGGCGTGATCATGTTTGGCCCGCGCGACGAGAACGCGGCCACCAACGGTGAGGGACGCACGTCCACCTGTGTCCCGGCGACCACAATCGTTGCCGTCGGCTTGGACTCGGATGCTATATAAGACTTTATCGCGGCACCTTCCTTTTCACCCACGCCGGTCGCGGGCAGGAGGTGGGCATCGGCGACGAGCTCCTGGCCGTTGGCGGCGGTGTTGGCGAGCACCATGCCGGCACCTCCAGCGTCGCGCACTACGAAGCCTTTCTGGACGCGCGCGCTGATGCCGCGGTCGCAGACCACGATCTTCCCTTGCACCTTCTCCGGCGAGAGGGTCCCCGGCATGCAGAGATTTCCGCTGGTGGAGTTCGAGGCGTTGCCCGCGTATACGAGGGGGGTCGGGGTCGACGGCGGGGCCTTCCCAGCGTAGAGGGACACGCCGGTGTAGTTCTTGCCGTTCCCGAGTTGAACGTACGCCGGGAAGTCGCGGTCGAGGGTGCCCGCGCCCACGGTGGTGATCCAAGGCGCCACGTTGGAGAGCGTGGCGCTCCCGGGCCCGGCGTTCCCGGCCGAGCAGGACACCACGACGTTCTGCTCCATCGCGGCGAAGGCGCCGATGGCGACGCTGTCGCGCGAGTAGTCGGCGGAACCACCGCCAAGCGAGAGCGAGAGCACGCCGCAGCCGTCGTCGACGGCGGCGTCCATGCCGGCGAGGATGTCCGAGCTGAAGCAGCCGCCGAGCCAGCACACCTTGTACACGGCCACGCGCGCCTTGGGCGCCATGCCGCGCGCCGTGCCGGACGCGAACCCGAACAGGTCAGCGTCTGCGACAGCGGAGCCGGCAGCGGTGGACGACGTGTGCGTCCCGTGCCCGTCGTCGTCGCGCGGGGAGCGCGACTCCCTGCTGGTGTCCATGGGCCCCATCGCTGCCTCGTAGCCCCGGTTGAAGAACCGCGCGCCGACGAGCTTCCGGTTGCAGGCCGAGGAGTTGAAGTCCGCGCCGGCCATGCACGCGCCCTTCCACGACGACGGCACCTCGCCGAGGCCCGCGTCGTCGTAGCTCTTGCTCTCGGGCCAGACGCCGGTGTCGAGCACCCCGACGACGACGTCGCCGCCCGTGCCAGACTGCGGGAACAGGCCCTCGCTCCCGGCGAGCCCCAGGAACTCAGGCGTCCGCGTGGTGTGCAGCTCGTACCGCGTCTCGGGGTTCACGGCCAGGACGCCGTCCATGCCCGCCATGTCGCTGGCCTCCTGCTCGGTGAGCCGCGCCGAGAAGCCATGCAGGACGGTGTCGTAGGAGTACAGCATCTTGGCAGCCGGGGCACCACCCGTGGACACCGAGCGCAGCGAGGCGCCGTACCACTCGCCGTGGTCGGCGTACTCGGCCGGCATGGCAGACTTGGCCATGTGAACTATGTACGTGGCGCGCTGCTCCGCCGCTGCCGCCGCCACGGCGAGAGCCACCACCAGCAGCAGCCTCATCAGCATCCTGTCCATTCAGCTGTCACTGCACCGGCAGCAGTGCGTGAAGCTATATATATCCGGTGCCGCCGTGGTAGTGTTACGACGAAGCTTAGCGAGGTAGCTCGTAGCCGCTACAAGGACGCGTGGTTATATATATATATACACCCGATAGCCTTACTGATTAAGACATGATTGGAAGGAAGAGTGTGACGAAAGATGGACAGTTGGTGCGTGCTACAAGAAGAGGAGAGGAAGTTTGTGTGTGGTTAAGTGATTGCTTGAGGGTAAGTGTAAAAGATGGTGAGTGTGAGTGATATCCGTATATCAATATCAGAGAAAGTATATGTGGGCGCACGCACGGCACGGGAGGGAGGGAGGGAGGGTGGGACGAAGGGGGTCACATGGATTTGTTTTCTTCGCCAACTTTGGGACTTTGGCGCTGCCAGTCGGTCGACCCCTGTGTCTTTGCCGGGCCTGCTGCTTTTTTCCTGATGAGGCTTTCAGTGTACGCGAGGTTGTGGTGTCTGGCCCGGAGGATTCTCTCCACGAGGAATCAAAGCATCCTCGGCTGTCGGCTAAGTTTTAGCTAGTGACCATGTGTGGACTCTGTCCGTCCCGTATTATGTAAGAGTATGTATCTTTTCGGATTATGGACGGCGGATTCTGATTCTTGAGCGACGCTCGTTAAAACGACGGAGGATCCATGTGAAAACGTGAAACATTCCCTTCTTCTTTTTCCCCTTTGTTTTTGCTGCTGTTTCGGGCAGCTTTTTGTTGTGGTTGTGATGTTTCTTTAACACCCCAATAACGGGTCAACGTTCCTCCGAGAGGCTCGAACGGTGTGATCGGGGAGTGTTTCCTCTAAAAACTGCTCCTAGCGAACACTCGGAAATTATTGTGCTATAACTGGTATATTTGTCATGCTACTGTATAAAGATTTGTCATGTTTAAAAGAAATATTGAAAGGTTGTCAGGAATTTTCCATGCGTACCAGAGAATCACACATGGCAAAAAAGGAAGCTTGCCATCCTATAGCTGGAGAAAGTTGTCACAAAGAGGTCACACAATATCTATGATTTGCCATGATGCAAGGAGGAGAATTTCCATGCTATAACATAAATAATTGTTCTGATGTACAATAGAAATTGCCACACATGTGTTCAGATATTTGTCATGTGCATAAGAAATAAATTCTAATGTTGCACATAAGAATTGTCATAACGTAAATATACAGAAAAAAGTTCCCCCATGAATGTCATTCCCCATGTCGCATCAAATGATCCAACGATTTTGTTTTGTCCGCGCGTTCCCTACCAATGGCCTTCCCAGTGAATGTATCGAGATTCGTGAGCCTCAATCCAACGGCTTGCAGAGCGTTTGCTCGGAAGTGCCTTAGAACTAATGTCAATTCTATAGTGTTTATGCTTTTTAGCCACACATGAAAAATGCATGTAATTCATTACACTTCAGTATTTGTGTAACTTGCATGTTATTTAAAATTTTTGTAAGTCAATTTTCTGACCTTTGATTTTTTTTGTCAAGATTTGTGTTGCCCCTTTTTTTTCCTGTGTTGTTTCATGATTTTCTTTAGGTAATGTTTCCTGACTTCTTAGATGAAATTTTTGACCTGCCCTTATTTGGGCCGATCAATTTTCTTATTGGGCTTGAAGCCATTACTCGATACATGTTCTTTTTGAGCAAATATCAATGACTGGCCGGTAAATAAGATGATAAGTGATGAATAATAATCACGTGTCAGTCAAGTAGGAGGTATCGTCTGTCATAACATTCATCGTCATCTTCTTTCTCTTCGAAGAACCTTCGCATGCATCGGACCTTTGACAATGGTTTTGTAGTTAATCATGCTAATGGCCCTAGGGATGATTTATAGAACGAACATTTGATTGGCGGGATGACCATAGCGCTGCTTAACTTCGTGGACATAGTTTCAAATAGTTCATTAGTTATACATGCTAATGGACTATGGGATGATTTATTGAACAAACACTTGATTAGCGCGATGATCATAGCGTTGCTTAACTTCCTGGACATAGTTTCAAATAGTTCATTAGTTTTACATTCTCGTTGATCAATGCGGGAAAAAGGTCAAATAGCTTTTGAGCAAATATTGATGACCAACCGCTATATAGGAGGGTCAGTGATGAATAATTATGGCGTGCCTGTCAAGTAGGAGGTACCGTCTATGATAACATTCATCGTCATCTTCTTTCTCCTCAACAAACCTTTGCATGGCTCAGACCTTTCACAAAGGTTTTGGCCTCTCAAGATGATTTATCGAACATTTGATTGGCATGATGACCATAGTGTTGTTTAACTTCCCGGACATAGTTTCAAATAGTTCATATAACTTTTGGGCTACCGGAGAAAGAGAGGATTTCAAGTTAAACCATTGAAAAAAATATTAAGGAATCAAAAGGTAGCTCTAGTCTATAGCCAAATGAATGAACCACCAAGAGTTCGTATGAGAGTTGGTTTAACCGCCCTAACTATGGTAGAATATTTCTGAGATGTTAATAAGCAAGACGTGCTTTTATTTATTGATAATATCTTTCGTTTTGTTCAAGCAGGATCAGAGGTATCTGCTTTATTAGGGAGAATGCCCTCCACAGTTGGTTATCAACCTACTCTTAGTACAGAAATGGGTTCGAGTCAACTTTCTTGGGTTGATCGAGATGGAG